GATTGAAATAGCATTTACATAGTAAGTTATATATATATATACATATTTATCTTATATATCATATATATATATATGTATATATGATGATAGAGATAATTGTTTATCTTGCTTGGCAAATGTATATGCCAAGGAGGAGTTGTAAAATCAGGGCACTGCCAATCAAAACATGTATGAAGTCTGAAAGCATCAAACCAGAGAGAGAGCTGCCTGAGATGCCTAATTTGGGCATAGGTCAGAGGAGCTCACAAGTCTCAGTAAGAGAAGAGATGCAGAGGAAGAATTGTTTGAAGAGGCTGAGAGTATATTGGAGTTAACTGACAGTGTAGAAAGCATTTTAAAAGGGGAAGTAAAAGTTGAATCTGGGAACAAATCACTTAATGGTCAAAGATGGACAGTAGGTCTGAGGGTGGAGAGTGGATGACTATCTTTTGAATATTGACAGAGACTAACAGTTGAGATCTTCAGCTGGTTAACTTTGCTAAAAGTTATGGCAGTTTAAAAGTTATGGTGATCTCAGTCAGAAAGAGATTCTAAACAGAGTAGGGGAGTGATACAACTGTTACAGTGACTGTAGTCACAGGTCAGTGATCAAAGAGAGCACTAGGAATAGTATTGGACTCTCAGGTACCAAGCAAAACCTGCACTTTATAGTGTAGCATTATGAGATAACCTGAATGATTTTCAAGGTAAGAGTTGCATTAGGTATACCAAGGCAGGTAAAATGTTGAGATTACCATAGATTAGAACTATAGTACATTGATTCTGGAATATATATATATATATATATATATATATATATATATATATATTCAATCTAAAAAAAGATGTCGAGTTGTGCAGGTGCAGATTTATAAAGAGAAATAAAAGAACCCAGACTTGTTTTTTTACACATTGTTATATAAGAAAATTCTTAGTCAAGAAAGCCATATCTGGCCCATTTGATTCCCTTTGGTGTTACTTTGCTAAGAATTTTGAAGTCATATTAGAAGCCTTGAATTAATACTGAGATCATACAATCTAGTCCATAAATGAACTCAGTCTATAAAGTTAAAAACTAAGAACAGATGAATGCAATTAAAAGTTGAATTATTTTTTTGATATTTTTGGTTAGGTAAAATATATAAAATAGTTAAGGACAGGTTAAGGTAACTTATTTCATATTATGTATATTAAAGTGAAAAACCCCTGAATCCAGTTCACCTAGAAAGCTTATGGAAGCATTTTGAAATAACGAGGTTAATTTATGGATATCTAACTTAGATCTCATATTTTACCTTTTTAGAACAGCATGTAATATTTATTGCTCCTAAAAATTGCTACAAAATACATATATTTGTGATAAGAAATTCTATAAGAATTAGGGCAGGATTTGTTATTCTAATTCAAAGTAATTTACTCATAGCATTTTTCAGTTTGGGAAAATCAGTTAGCTGATCTCTCTAGAGTTACTTGATTGAATTAGACAGAATTAGACAAGTATGTCATTATAAAACAAATTCAAGGAGGACTTAGCACCAGACATTTACCCTTATTAAAGTCATATGAACAACAGTATCTCATGAACTGTACAAATATATAGCAGAATACTTTATACTGAGATATTTTGTAATCTAGTTTTTGGTGAAAATAAAATTAAAGAGCTATGTAAAAACTTACGTTAACATTCTTTTCAATTGACCTTATCAGCACCACTTGAGAGTGTATTGCCACTGATACTCTGAGCCCAGAAGTCAGGTTTCAAGTCTGATTATTTGGAGGGTAAAAAATAATGAAGTTTTTGTTGTTCATTTTAATTCCCTAGTTTAAAATGCATTAACAAAAGCTGAGCACTCTTAGACCATAAGAGGTTATTTATGCTGTCATTATTAAAACAAATTCAATTTTCTTGTCCACTGTTCACTCATTTAGCAATAATTTTCTCAGTGTCACTATTGGTGCCATGTTTGAATGAAGTTTGCCTGTGGTAACATTAGAGTAATTAATTTGTATGGGAATTTATCACTATGGAAGGTGGTAAAGGAAGATAAGCTAAAAATATTAGCCAATGGCATTAACTACTTGATCAGTAAGATGAGTAAAATTACAGATTTATTTTAAGAGCTGCCATTAAACATTAAGAAGTTGTGGCAAGATGGGGAGAAATGGCCCAAACAATGTATGCACATGTGAATAAATGAATAAGAAATTTTAAAAAAAGAAGTTGTAGCTATGGATAAATTAGATCAGATGTTTCATTCTTTGGTTAATGTGACTACCTACAGATATGTGTACTCTAAAAGGAAGTCTTTGTATTCCAAATCTTCCATGAGCAAGGTTTTAACAAAGCCATTAATCTCAAAATTGCAGTCACATGTAATTATTATGCCTGCCAGGGTGTATTAATTATAAGAGTTCAAGACACATGAGATTGTGTCTAGGTGCTACATGTATTTATGTAATGCATGAAAAATAATACCACATTGTATATTATAACAATCTCTTTAAGATAAATCAAAATAGAGATACATGGTTTTGACTATTTGAAATTATCCAAAGTCAAAATAATCACCATGCTTATACCTCCTCCAAAGGTAGATTTTAGGATATCTCTGAAAAATGAGATCACTTTTGAATCCATAATGTTAAAGGCCATGAGGGAGATTGTTTATAAACTTAATTATGTTAGGTATTACTATTTTATACATGCTATTTAGTGTGTAAAAATAGCACTGATGCCAAATACTAACATTGTGGTGGCTGTTAGGAATGGAAGTGGTACAGAAGATCGTCTCCGACGTAAGGATTATCCTGTTACAATAGTTCATGAAATTACATGGGAGCAAATCAAACAAAATGTACTTTATAAAATACTATGGAAGGCATTCTATCCTCATTACATTCCTCTATGAAAATATTTCCTATATGGTTATGTTTCTCTGGAGAACATTTCAGAGACAATAGGGTGATCCTAAAGGAGATGATGGATAACTGTTAGCACATGAAATTTAGTACATAATCCTGAGTAATTAAGATCTTACTAAATGAATATAATTCCTTAAAAAAAGTAGACTGCAAAAAATAAAAACAAAGAAAAAACAAGCTTTACTAACAATGGGCACTCATTCTCTATAACATCCTAGCCTCCATTCTGAAGCCTGGTAATTGCATGTTGGTTGCTGCCTGTATGTTTATCATTTATAAGCTCTGGCAGAGAGTGTCAGAGAGATATTGTTTACTTTAAACAACTGGGCTGAAAAGTTATGAGTTTTCTTTTTCTGTTTCTGTTTTGCAATTTTTATTCTATTTTGCAACAAAGCAACCCTTAGAAAACATCTTTAATCATTGTAAGAAATAGTTAAATATAAATTCACAAATTCTAGACCCATGATGATTTTCTTTTCCCCCGTTTATTTAGTAGAAAACATTTTACTGTAATTACTTTTAATTAGAAAATGTTGATAAAAATCTTGCTAAATCCTCCATCTATTAATTCAATGACTAAGAAGTACCAGAGAGAATAATACAAAAAGGATGTTTCTGTGGTTTTACTATACACAAAGCCAAATTAAAATCTAGCAGAGAGAAAATTAAAATTCCTCATGCTGCAAAATACATTGTTATCTGTATAAAATACATTGTTATTATCTGAATATCAAATAGGTGGTATGTTCCATTTAAACTCTTGGATCCTCCATCTTACTTTTAAAGGAACTCAGAACATTCTGAATGTGAGTTCTGCACATTCCTACAAAGATGATTTTTACTCACTATATTTATGTCAAAAGGAAGATTATTTAAAGAAAGAATTAATACTCACAGAAATACATCAAATTTTAAAACATTTAATTAAAAAATTTGATGATTTTTTAAAAAATGAAATCACAGATGTCTTGTCATTTTGTTTTTATGTGCTTCGGCACCCATATTTCTTACAGTATAGAAAATTTCTTACAAAGATGGAGTTTCCAAATCAAAATATAAATTTTATAGGTTCTTTGTATTTCCCAGATAATTTCTCAAGACAGATTGACATTATTAATTCAGAAATATAGCATTTTTATTGAATTGTACAGCATGTGACTTTTAGTACCTCAAGGTATTTATGTATGTGTATTCTTGTGTGTTCATTGTACTTATTAACTGAGCACATACAGGAGGTATGGGGATAGGTAGGGAAAAAAAAAACAACTTCACTCTAGAAGGTAGGTCTGCTACCAAGTGGGTTTTATTATTCTAGACTAAGTGAAATATTAGCAGTGGGAGAATTCTCTAAACTGCTCAAGAGAAAAAGTAGGCTTTGATTCTAATTTTTATAACAACTAGAAAAAGTATAAGTGTAAAATCTGACGTTTCCATTTTTAAACTTTTTGATGCATATTGATTTGTCACACTTTTTGTGCATTCTGAAATTATATCACTTACCACAAAAATTAAAAAAATGAAGAAAAGTATGTTTTAAAAGATATTACACAATTGTTCTTTAAACAACTCCAGGTAACTTTTATGTCAAATTCATGTTCCATATACACAGTTAAAGTAGTACCTTCAGACACATAGCTATAATGGTAACTCCAGCTTTTTTTACATTAATCTAACTTTAAAATTTACAGCTAAACTTCTTTTGCTTATACTTTTCAGTCCTTGATTTTAATTGTTTTTATCCTTCAACAAATCTATTAACAAAAGATGAGAGGCAGAGAAGCAGCTACTTATTCTTAGTCAATTTTGCTACCTTCTTTTAAAGTAGCCTTACTAAAATGTCCACAAAGACAGTAAATGAAAACTGCTGACAAACTAATATTCTTTAAAGCATATACAATTCATGCTATTTCTATATCTCATACAAAAAACCCACAGTAATTTACAAACTCATAAAGCAGAGTGCCAACCTTATTGAAGTTTCTTCTCATATTTTTATTCAATCAGTATTTATACTACACAGCATCAATCCTACTGATATCGGTAGTATGCTTGACTTTTAAAGTGGTTTTAAAACATTGATTTTATATTTTGGTTGACAGATATTCCACATGACATATGATCTTGCCAGTGCTGTGGTGAGGATTTTTAATCTCATCGGCATGATGCTGCTTCTGTGTCACTGGGATGGTTGTCTTCAGTTCTTGGTTCCACTACTGCAGGATTTCCCACCGGACTGCTGGGTGTCTCTCAATGAAATGGTTGTAAGTAGTTCGTGTCATTTTACGTTCTTCCTTTTCAACATTTTTCAGGAACAAGTTTAAGTATTTATGCTAGAATGGTCTTCTTTCTCCTCCATAAACATTTAGACAACTCTTGGCCTTGTTTCCATGGATGTGAAATCAGATGATATGGCTCCTTTTTACAACTAAATTTCATTTTCATGCTTCTGGGAATGTATATATTTCAGCTTCTATTTTCATGTATTTTACTCTGTGTGTACTGAAACATTTTATTTCAAAGATGCAAACACATAACCATGATACTACTTTCCTTCAAAACTGCCTATAGCTTCGAATAATTCCTTCTTTCTTTCAACTTTTTTTAACACTCAAAATGTCCAAAACACAATTATAGAGATTGTCGAACTTATAAAGGCAGATACTTCAGTAGTACTGTACACGAAATATGTATGAAGTTCACTGATGTTTCAGATAGTACTTTTGCTGGTGAAAACAAGTAAATGTTTATGGGAAATGTACTTCTTAATCTTCATTGAAAAATACATAAATATAAAAAACTTAAAAATGTCAATTTTGCTTCATATCTAAATATATTTGTTTTAAACTTTAATAGCATGTGTTTTTTATTGAGATCTGATGTTTACCAGGTTCTGTTCTTCATTTCAATTCAAATCTGCTCAAATATCACTTCCTCACAGAGACCTCCCCTGAACGCCTGATCAAATACATGTATCACTCAACTGATTTATATCTTAATCATAAAAGCATTTAGGCACACACACACTCATGCATACTTTTACCTGTTATTTATATATTTTCTGTGTCCTTCACAACAGAGTGTAAATTTACAGACTTTGTTTACTTCTGCCCTTTGTCTTCAGTGCTGTCTTAACCTGTTTTGTGCTGTTATATAAATGGACTGGGCTATTTATAAAAAAAGAAAAATGGAAATTTATCTCTCACAGTTTGGGTAGCTGGGAAGTCTACGGTCAAGACACTACTAGGTTCAATCTGGTTTCAAGGTGATACCTTGAGTCTGCATCTTCTGGAGAGGAGGAACGCTGTCAGAGGGTGGAAAGTGAAAGCGTGGGAACCCACTCTTCAAAGCTGTCTTCATAAGGGTTTTCTCCTTTCAGTAGGATAGATCCTCCAGAACCTAAATACCATCCGTTAGGTTTTATCTCCGAATATTGTTGTGATGGAGACCAAGTTCCCAAACATAAATTTTGTGAAACACGTTCAAATCACAGCAAGTGGCTAGAAAAATATCTTACATATTAATTTCTTTTAACCTAACCACTCATCTTCAGAACTTTACTTGGGAAATATTCCTAAAGAGTTTATATAACTAAAGAACAAAACAAAGAGTTTGATTGGTTTTTCAAATACTTAATGTCTCCTTGATAATAAATCTGTCACTTTGCATATATTTGACAAAGAAAAATAAATGGCAAAGATGATAATAAAGATATTTTTCAGAGGAGGAAAAAGTCAAGACACCTATAATTTAGCTTCTGACCAAGTGGATAGTATAAAAACACTAGCACTGCTCTCAAAAGATGATTCATCATTGGCACCAATCAACATTTAATTTGGCAAATAAGTATTATTTTGAAATTTCCCTAGGTATCTGCCAGAAAAATAGCAATTGTGATCATTGAAAGAGCAAATGAACTGTTTTCGAGTATCTATAAATTTACTTGTGTAATCATAATGAAGGGCAGCAAACCAATTATCTAGTAATATGCACAGTACTTAAACAAGAATTTTAATATCTTGATCAATTCTCTATAAATGCATCTGTATGTATTCATATGTGTGTGCGCGCCATGTGTATGTGTGCGTGTTTAATCTACTGTAGGCAAACCTTCACCTTTTACTCTGTCTGAATAAAAATCTTAGATTTGACAGATAATTAATGTCTAATAAAAATAATTGTATCTCATGACATCTTTTGTCTGTGCTCGTATGTGCAAAACACTGAAATTGTATTAATTCACTATAAAAGGGAGATGAGCAATGTTTTTTGGTTTATTTTTATTTATTTATTTTTTTGGGGGAAGCAAGTTTATTAAGCAAGCTGGCAGTGACTCAGAAGATTCATGTCCAAAGGCTGAGCACCAAGGACAAAGGAGGCTTTCCTCATATAGCATTTAAAGCAGGTTACAGAAATGGGGAGGGGTACAGTTTGTATCCTACACAATCACATCATTTCACTGGCTGTTTTAAACTCTGGGGTAAGGTGACCCTCCTCTGGTCTCCATGTAACATTCCCAATTCTGGTTTTCCTTTGTTTTTCTGTAGCACTCATTAATCTCTCTTCTCCCTCCCTGCTTTCCTGCCACATTCCTAACTTTGATGCTCAGACCCACTTCTGGACAAAGAGCATCATCTTGATAAAGACCACAGTACTGGAAGATTATGCAGGGTAATATCAGGCATACTTTTAACACAAGGAATGTTGTCCCTATTAAAATCTTGAACCACCTAGGGTTGAGAACTAGCCCCTGAATAGGTCATTGAGATTCCATTCCTTTCATGCCTACACAGGGACAAGGGCAAGCTTTTTTTATCTTGTCGATAATCTCCTTAATTACCTTTTTTTGTCAATAATCTGTAAACAGCAGTTACTCAGACCACATAAAACATAAGTTTTAGATTTCCTTCCTTTCCCTATTCCTTTACTTCCCTTAGTGTGTGTCCCATGTCCAATAATATTACTGCAATTGGTCAATAATCTGCATATGAGGGAGAACATGCAAGTTTTGGCTTCTGAACCTGGTTAACTTCACTTAAGATGATTTTCTCCACTTTCCATCCATTTACTGGTGAATGACAAAATTTCATTCTTCTTTGTGGCTGAGTAAAATTCCATTGTGTATAAATACCACATTTTCTTAATCCATTCACAGGTAGTGGACATCTTGGCTGTTTCCATAACTTGGCTATTGTGAATAGTGCCGCAATAAACATGGGTGTGCAGGGGCCTCTGGAGTAACCTGTGTTGCATTCCTTTGGGTATATCCCCAGGAGTGGTATTGCTGGATCATATGCAAGATCTATGTTTAGATTTTTAAGAAGTCTCCAAATTTTTTTCCAGAGTGGTTGCACTAGCTTGCATTCCCACCAGCAGTGTACGAGGGCTCCTTTTTCCCCACATCCTTGCCAACACCTGTTGGTAGTGGTGTTTTGATGATGGCTATTCTAACAGGGCTGAGGTGGAATCTTAGTGTGGTTTTAATTTGCATTTCCTTTATTGCTAGAGATGGTAGGCATTTTTTTATGTGTTTTTTGGCCATTTGAATTTCTTCTTTTTAGAAAGTTCTGTTTAATTCAGTTGCCCATTTCTTTATTGGTTCATTGATTTTGGGAGAGTTTAGTTTTTTGAGTTCCCTGTATATTCTGGTTATCAGTCCTTTGTCTGAGGTATAGCTAGCAAATATTTTCTTCCACTCTGTGGGTGTCTCTTCAGTTTAGAGACCATTTCTTTTGTTGTGCAGAAGCTTTTTAATTTTATGAAGTCCCATTTATCTATGCTATCTCTTAGTTGCTGAGTGCTGGGTTCTATTGAGGAAGTCCTTGTCAATACCTACTCCCAGAGTATTCCCTGCTCTTTCCTATACTAACTTCAGAGCTTTGGGTCTGATACTAAGGTCCTTGATCCATTTTGAGTTGATCCAAGTACAGGGTGATAAACATGGGTCTACTTTCTGTTTTTGCACAGATAACCACTCTTCCCAGCAACATTTGTTGAAGAGGCTATCTTTTCTCCTTCGTATATTTTGGTGCCTTTGTCAATAATAAGGTGGGCATAGCTGTGTGGATTCATATCCAGGTGCTATGAGGGTTTCTTTTTCCCCACATTCTCGCCAATATTTGTTGTTGGTGGTGTTCTTGACTATAGCCATTTTAACAGGAGTGGTGGAATCTAGTGTGGTTTTGATTTGCATTTCCTTTATGTCCAGGGATGATGAGCATTTTTTCATGTGTTTTTTAGCCATTTGGATTTCTTCCTTTGAAAACTTGTGTTTAGTTCAGTTGCCCACTTCTTTATTGGTTCATTGATTTGGGGAAAGCTTAGTTTTTTAAGCTCCCTGTGTATTCTGGTTATTAGTCCTTTGTCTGATGTATAGCCAACTAATATTTTCTCCCAGTCTGTGAGTGGTGTCTTCAGTTTAAAGACTATTTCTTTTGTTGTGCAGAAGCATTCTAATTTCATGTAGTCCCATCTGTTCATCTTTTCTCTTAGTTGCTGGGCTGGTGGAGTTCTACTGAGGAAGTTCTTGCTTATACCTATTTCTTCCAAAGTATTGCCTTCTCTTTCCTATACTAACTTCAGAAAAGTTATTAAGGATATTAAAGTCCTTAATCTACTTTGAGTTGATACTAGTATAGAGTGACAGGCAGGGATCTAGTTTCAGTTTTCTGCAGGCAGATAACCACTTTTCTGAGCAACATTTGTGGAAGAGGCTGTCTATTCTCCATCACATTTATGACCCACTGGATCACTGAGCAATGTGTTATTCAGCTTCCAATTGTCTGTGTATTTTACGCTGTTGTTTTTGTTGTTGATTTCTAGTTTCAATGCATTGTGATAAGATAGAATGCATGGTATTATTTCTATTTTCTTATATTTGCTGAGGCTTGCTTTGTGCCCTAAGATATGATCGATTTTGGAGAAAGTTCCAAGGGCTGCTGAGAAAGAATGTAGATGTTGATCGAAATATTACTGAGATATCAATCTAGGTCCATTTGATCTATGCGTCATGTGATTTAAGTTCTAGGAAATTTCTTTATGATTTTTTTGTTTGGCATGACCTATCTATTTGGTGATAAAGGAGGTGTCTCCAAAGTCTCCCACTACCACCTGTGTTGGCAGTATACATTGTGCTTTTTTAAGTCCATTTAGAATATATTGATGGAAAACTGGGCTGCACTGACCATTGGGTTGCCTATAGGTCTGATAATTGTTTTTTTCCTTTTGGTCTGTATTTCCCCTTTTATTAGTATTGGAAATCCTT